GGAGCATAAAATTTTTTTATCTTCTGGAAATACTGTTGTGGAAATGTTAATAAGAGTCAGATGCAAATTTCCATTAATGAGGTGTCTCTGATGGCATGGAAAAGAGGTTTTTGTTTTATTGATGGCACAGTGAACTAGCAAACTATTAAGTAAATATTCTCCTCTTAGGTATCCAAATTAAAATGAGAAGGCAAGTTCTTGTTGGAAATATACTGATAGCATTTCATTCTTCTAATTAGGTTAACATTTTATTTCCTTTTCACTTGGAAAACTTAACATGTCGTGAGGTAAATGCCAGTTTTTTAGAACAAAAGGGATTTAATAGTGTCTGAGAAAAATTTCACCTATCTGCTCATTGCTTTACGCCAAGGAAATAACATAAATTACCCAATTAACCTTAAAATCCTGTGGGTCATTCGGTGTATATTGTACATATCCCCTTTTGATAGATTATTCCACGCTCGTCTTGGTTTCGCCCTATCGTCTTGGCAAGTACATTCAAGTTTGTGCATGCCCCAGAATAGCTGAACAGACCTTTAGGGCGTCCCATGAGGTGGTAGCAGATAAACCCCATGGTTTAGGAGGAGATGCCAGATGCCACTGAGGCACAGTGCTGTCAGAGAGTATGCACCCGGCTACAGTCCGGATGGTAAAGTCCGCTCCAATTTAACTTATCCAAAAATATAGTTTCCATTGAACAGACAGAAGAATTAGGTTGTAGCAGGGAGGTCTACACTCTCCAAAACACACAAAAACCTAACAAAATGTATTATAATATATTGTTATAGTAATTAGTTCTGTGAATGTGCAATTAAAACACTTATATTTAAAATTAGGTGTTAGAGTTAGTAACTTTAAAAGGGTTAGATGTTAAATTAGATTCTTGGGATTTTACAGATTGTTTTTTCTTTTTATTCCATTCCGTAGTTTCTACCCTTAGAACATAAAACTACCCAAGTCATGTAGCTCTTGTTATGTGTTTGAATAAGTGATTCATTCCTGTTTGACCTCATACTTTCTGAGCTCAATTATATATTGCTGTATGATAGCCCCCCCAAAATATGTATGTGTTAAACAAATGCTGGATTGAAAGAGTGAATGTCCTGATTGATTTTTACGCTGAGCATTCTTGGCACAGTTGTGTCCTTTGATGATTACTCTTAATGTTAATTCTTGGAAGTAGAATAATCATAAATGGTGTGTCTAGTTTATAAAACTCCAAGTTAAACACCCTAGCTGGTTTGGCTCAGTGGTTAGAGAGTCAGCCCATGGACTGAAGGGTCCCAGGTTCGACTCCTGCCAAGAGCACTTACCTTGGTTACAGGCTCCATCCCCCATCCCAGTCAGGGCCCGGTGCATGAGGCTCAACATCTCTCTCTCTCTCTCTTCCCCCTTCCACTCTCTCTGAAAAGCAATGGAAAAAATATCTTTGGGTGAGAATTAAAAATAATAACAATAATAATAAAACACCAAGTTAAAAAATTCATACAATGAATTAAACTAGGTTACTAAGTATTTACTTCATTATGTAGAACACTGGAACTGACTTTTGCCTTAATCTTAAACATAGCTGTTCTACAGTGACCTCTTTATATAAATTCCTATATATGCCTAAGATTTTATGGTAAACATAAATACTAAAATTATTCTTGTGCTTAATTAGAGAAGAACAAAATAATTTAATGTTATACTTGTGACATGTAATATAGGAAATTGAACTCAGGGTATATATCAAGCAGCTGGGAGAAAAATCCATGATTTATTTGAAAAGCACTTTGAGAAAGTTGCAAAAGAATTGTCATAAATGCATAGATTGTGATATATTGTAGATAATCTAATTGTTTATGTAATTATAAATTTTAAAAATGCAGTGTCTTCAGTTTTGCTCATATAACAATTTGAGCCTAAATCTCACAACTATGTATTCAAATATATGCACACTATAGATGCTAACTGTTCAATTAATCTTTCTAAATGTGACAAAAAAAGAGGTTTAGGATGGGAGCTGAGTGTATAAGTTTTCAGCTATAAGTAATTGTTGAAAGTCTGGGCAGCTAAGCTGGGTTTTGTTTATTTTCCTCTGAAACTAAGAATCATGGATCAGAGCACATAGGAAAAATGTTTAAATCAAACTGGAATTTGTAAAGACCGTCTCTCAGAGAGTCAGCAAGCGTGAATGGGATGAGAGAATAAATGAATAATTTGAAGAAGAATTTTAAAACTGCTGTGAGACACAACTTTATTGGGGAAGGCTAGATTCATCCTTGCTGTTACATGTATAAATATACCCTTCCTTTTTACTGCTAATTAGTATTCTTTGGTATGACATACCAGCTTGTTCATTCATTTACCAGTTGATGAATATTTTGGCTGTTTTGGGTTATTACCAGTAAAGCTGCTATAAATGCCATGTGCAAGTCTTTGAATTGTCATGTAGTTCTTTTTATTTTAGGTAACTCCAAGACATGGAATGTTTTGATCATATGGTTGGTGAGTACTTAATTTTTTAAGAAACCACCAAACTGTTTTACAAAGTAGTTGTGCAATTTAATATGCCAGCCATGTATGAGAGATTTAGTTGCTTCACATGTACACTAGTACTTGATATTGTTTGTCATTTTTATTGTAGCCATCCTATTGGGTGTGTAGTGGTGTTTTGCTGTATTTTTGGTTTGCATTTCTTAATGGTTGAATATCTTTTCATGTGCTTGTCATCCATTTATTGTTTACAGTGAAATGTCTCTCTATATCTTTTGCCAATTTTCTGTTGGGTTTTGAGAGTTCATTTTTTTATTAAGATATAATTGACATATAAAATTATGTTAATTTCAGGCATACAACATAATCATTTGATATATGTATATATTGTGAAATAATAACATTATCTATCACCAAACATAGTTATAAATTTTTTCTTGTGGTAAGAACTTTTAATATCTACTCTCTTAGTAACTTTCAAATATACTAAACAGTATTATGAGTGATAGACATCATGCTATACATTATATCTCTATGATATTTATTTTATAACTGGAGGTTTGTACCTTTGACCAAATTCACCTATATGCCAACTCCCTTCTCAAATTTTAAATTTTCTAGAACCTTCAGTACAAGCTTAATGAGAAGTATAGATGTCCAACTACCATTAAGTAAAAATATTTACTGTTAGTTTTTCATAAATTACCTTTATTAGGTTGGGAAGCTCCCAGTTTGCTGAGAATTTTTATCATGAGTAAATTTTATTTTTAATTTTTTCAAAATTTTTTTGCATCTATTTTAATGAGCATATGATTTTGCAATTTGTTGGGGTCTGTATTGTTTCTGAATCATATTGTTTGATTTTCAAGTCTTGAAAAATACTTGCATTCCTGGATGAGGTCACTAATGTATTATTGTTTTATATATTGTTGAACTTGGTTTGATAATATTTTGTTAAAATTTGAGCCTACATTCATAAGATATTGGTCTGTAGTTTTTTTTCTTGTAATGTCTTCATATTTCAGTATCATGAAAATGTGGTCTCAAAATATGGTGAAAAGCATAGCTTAATCTCTATTTTATAGAAGGATTTGTATATTATTGGTATTATTTATTCTTCAAATGTTTGGTAGAATTTACCATAAAAACATTTGAGCTTGGAGTTTTATTTTTGTGAACTATATATTTAATTTCTTTGATAATATGCTATTCAGGTTATAAATTTCTTCTTGAGTGAGTTTTGGTAATTTTTATCTTTCAAGAAATTGTCCATTTCATCTAGTTTTCAAATGTGTTGTCATAAAGTTGTTTATATCATTTTCTTATTATTTAATTAATGCCTGTAAGAGATGTAGCACTATACTCGCTTTCCTTTCTAATATTGGTAAGCTATATTTTTCTTGATTAGTCTGTCTAGAGCATTATAAAATTCCTTAATCTTAAGAAATTTTTAAAAATCTGTTTTATTTACTTTTTTCTTTGGTTTTATATTTCCTATGTTGATAATTTTTCTCTTTCCTTTATTATTTCCTTCCTTCTGCTTGCTTTCATATTAATCTGCCCTTCTGTGTCTAGTTTACTTTTTTAAAAGTCAATATCATTATTTTGAGACCTTTCTTATTTTCTAATATAAGCATTTACTGCTAGCATTTTGATTCTAAACATTGCTTTATCTGTGTTCCATACATTTTGATGTCATGTTTTCATTCCCATTTAGTTCAAAATATTGCCTAATTTGCCTTGTGGTTTCTATGAACCATGAGCTACATAGGCATGTGTTGTTTATCTTGTGATTATTTGAGGATTTTCCATACATATAGTTCAATTTTGTTATGATCAAATAATATATTTTATATGGTTTCATTTTTTTAAGTTTTTAGAGGTTTGATCTATGAGATTATCATCTCTTGTTGAATGTTTTGTGTCTACTTGAAAATATTGTGCATTCTGACATTGTTGAGTTGAATGTTCTTTAAGTATTAATTAGTTGATTCTACTCTCATAAATTTCCTTGTTTTGAAGTTAACACTTTCTGTTATTTATATAGCTGCTACAATTTTTTCTTTAGTCTTTTCATGGTGTATCATTTTCCATCATTTTACTTTTAAATAGCATATAATTTAATTTATTATACAAATTGACAATTTCAACCTTTTATTGGGGTGTTTAGACAAATTATATTTAAAGCAATTATTGATATTTTAGGTTGATATGACATATTGATATTATAGCAAATATATTTATATCTTTCTTATATTTTGTTTTCAATTTATTACATCTGTTCTTTTTTCCCCCCAAATGATTTACATTTAATCATTGGAAGCAAACTAAATGGAAAGCTTACAATAGAGAAGAAATTATATGTCAGTGCCTTTTGCAAAGTGAGCTGGGACATAAAGGGACTGGGAATGCCCCTCATCCTGATCCTTTCCAATAAAAGGCATCCACAGTGTCCCCAGAAGTCTCGCTCAGGAAAGGGAGAGGCTGTTGGCTCTGTGTGTTGAGGTCATCTTGCCCACCACTCACTCCTGGCCAGCATCAGGAGCCCCACGTTGCCAGCCCTGGTAATCGCCCCTCTTTTTGTGGATTGAGACGATGTCATCAATCCACAGCAGCAGAATTGCAGTTTCCACTGCTGCCTTATATGTTTGCAGTTTCACAGCCAATGGCTCCCAGGTGCCCAGTTCTTTCATGTCCACCAAAGTACCTGTTTCACCATTTATACCCCAGGTCTCACAGTTCTCCTGGGTATGCTTAGCCCAAAGGGAGGTAAGTAGATGAATGGTGCTGGCACCACAGTTCTGGATAAGAGTGCGAGGGATGACCTGTAAGGCCTGGACAACAGCCCTGTATTGTTCCACACCAGTCATGGCCTTGGATTTTTCTCTCAAGGCATGGGCCATGGCCATCTCACAGGCCCCACCCCCTGGCACCAGCTGAGGGTCCAGGAGAATGTTATGGCACACCTGCATGGCATCCTGGAGGTTGCATTCAACTTCTGAGAGAATCTCTTTGCTGGCCCACAGAAGGAGAATGGTACAGGCCTTGGGGTCTTTACACTCAGTGATAAATGTAAAGTACTCATCTCCAATTTTCTTGATTTCCACCAGGCCTGCTCCTATCCCAACACCACCCTCTCTCAGTTCCTCTGGCCAGCTGACTATCTGGGCTCCACAGGCTCTGGTAATGCGATTATTGTCTGTCTTCTGGACTCTATGGATGGCTGTGATATTTGCCCTCATGAGGTAGTGCTGAGCTAAATCTGAGATGCCCTTTTCAGTGATGACCACATCAGGCTTTATATGGATAATTTCCTCACAGAGCTGTGGGATGTATTCTTCTTCCATTTGGAGGATTCGAGTGAAGTCTTCCTCTCGTATGATCTCAGTGTCAACCTGGCTTTCTCCTTTCTTGTATTCCAGAGAAGAATCCAGCAGCATAATGTAAGGGTTCTTGATATAGCGCCACATTTGTGGATGGCTCACATCTTTGTTAATCATGACTCCACATAAGACACATGAGTCTTCAATAATACCCCCAGGTATCTTTTCCATCCTTGCATATTTCTTGATGTCAATCTCCTTCCGACCATTCTCTTCAAACTGTACAGTTTTGACAGCATCCAGGGCAATGTTGCAAGCCAAAGAGGACCACCGACTGATTGCTTTGGCAGTAATGGAGCTGTTGATAATGTTCAGCATCATATCTCGGATATTGGTGTCAATGGGAGTACCGATTTTCTTAAGGGTGCTGATCATGTCATCCAATGCCTTTCGGTAAGCACTGATCACCAATGTTGGGTGCATCTGCTGCTCTAGGAAGTGCTCAGCCACAGAGAGCATCTCCCCTACAAGAATAATTACTGATGTGGTCCCATCCCCAACCTCTTCATCCTGTGTCCAACTAATTTCAACCATGGACTTGGCTGCTGGATGCAGAACTTGAATCTCTCAAAGAATGGCATTGCCATCATTAGTCATCATGATGATTCCCATTGGGTCCAAAAGCATCTTCATCATGGACTTGGGTCCCAAACATGTTCAGATGATATCTGCAATATTCTTGGTGGCACTGATGTTTCCAGATTTAACTTTTCTTCCAGATTCACGCTTTGTGTTCTGGCTAAGCACGAGCATGGGACAATGGCCCATCATGGCAACGAGATGTGGAGCCAGGTACCCAGAGCTGAAGAAACAGGCAGAAGCTTCTGGAGAGGGAACCACTACATCTGTTCTTTCAAAAAATTTCTTTTTTCTTTCTTGGGATTAAAAGCCTTTATTTTTTTATTATATTTCTACAAATAGCTTATTAGTTGTATCTCTTTTTATTTTTTAATGATTGTTTTAGGGTTTCCAATATATGTTTTGGAGTATAATAGTATACCTTCAAATATTATTACACTACTTCACACCTTGCATATACCTTCATTTCCCCGCTTTCCTTGTGCTATTGCTGTCGTATATTTTACTTTTACACATATCATAACCCCAAATATATATTGTGATTTTGCTTTACGCTTTGTCTTAGAGATTTAAAATAAGGAACTACAGTTTATATTTTCTTATATTTTTGCTATACCTGTCACTCTTCATTTTTTGTGTTGTTATAAATTTACCTGTTAACACATTCTGATTGAAAAGTTTCTTTGACTTTTGTAAGTTTGGTGTGCCTGTACATTTAATTCTTCATGTTATCCTGTTTTTCATTCTCTGATCTTCTCAGATCTACGGTTTGTTATTTTTTGAATTAATTGTGCAAAGTTTTCACCTGCTTTCTTTTCAAATGCTTCTAGAGCCCTATTATTTCTCTTCTAATGTTGGGATTCCATTACAAACATGTTAGACCATTTGTTAATTATCTTAAATATTCTGGGTTTTTCTCTGTTTTTTCACTCTTTTTTATATTTATATTTCAGTTTGGAGAATTTCTATCAAAATATATGCTAATTCATTGATTATTTTAATGAATTTAGTCTGAAAATAAGCCAGTTAAAGAAAAATTTTCAACTTTGATATTATCTTTTAATCTCTGTCATTTCCTTTTGATTTCCTTACTGTGTATATATCTCAGCCAACATGCCCATCTATTCATCCATGATACTCTTATTTCCACTAAATTCATGAATTTATTTATTATGGTTATTTAAATGTTCATGTCAAATATTTTCAACATATGGACCATCTCTGAGTCTGGTTTTATTGACTGCTATCTTTCTTTTCTTGTAGGTCCTTTTCTTGCCATAGTAATTTGTATCTCTTGCAATTATTTTTTTCATAAGATTTTGGACATTATGTGCAAAAAAAAAAAAAAAGAGCAGAGACTGAGGTAAATAATATTCCCTCTTAGAGAGCAGTATCCCTCTGCTCCTGTCAGCTTGCTTGGGGGAACGACACAATCATTCATTCGTTCCTGTAACCCTGAACTCTAGGGAGTACAGAGGGGGCTCCTTCTCAGCATGCTTATCCCTCCCCACACAGCAGCCAGAGCTGCCTTTTATAAATGGTGAGTCTTGTCCAGGGGTCTTGAACACGAGAAAATTTCTTGTCCCTCTTCCGGTGGCAGCACTCTGCTTTGTATTGGGGTGGGGTGCTTGAAACCAGAGGCTTTATGTTCTTCCACCAACAGCAGCCCACCTCTGCCTGGGGCAGGAAGAGGAGGAGGTCGTCCTGTCCTTCTATAAGTGACAACTTTTGTTTTATCCCTTCTCTGGTGGCAGCTCACCTGTTTTGGGGATCAGAGGGCAGGGAGGTTTCTAGCCCATACCTGGAGGAACACAGGTTTTGCTTTATGGAAGAGTCCTAGTCAGTTGTGGGTTTCATCCCTATGTCACAGCAGCCACTGATCAGAACACCCAGGCTTTCATTACCAAGGTAGGCTTTTTCAAGAATGTTTTCTTGCCTCCACTCTTTTCCATGGACACCTGGTCAAGGCCTATGAGAAAAATCTGACAAGTGACTGGAGACTCCTTTCGTTTCTGGGACTCATAGGGGTTTTAACCTATCATGGTAGTTCATACTATACCTTCACATATTTGTTAACATTTCAGGTGTTTTTTCTCTTTAATTGGTGCTGCTACTTTGTCTTGTGCTTTGACAGTGCAAACAGTTTGTACACCCTGTCTTTCCTTGGAGGAGTTTGTCACCTTTAAAATTTAATTCACTTCATTGCCTTGAGATCTGAGCTCATTGAGGGACTCAAAAAACAAATAAAACAAAACAACAACAACAACAAAAAACACTTCTGGTTCTGTACATTTTTTTTTTTTTTGCTCTTCTTATTGTTGGGGTGGGAGCAATGTTTTCTTGTGGTTTTCTACAGTCTGAGCACTGGAAAAACCCTGGATGGGTCTTTAAGCATAATCCTTAGTGAAAAAAAATTAGGAACTATAATGAGATGCATAACATAATGCCATGTAACTAAATTAAAAACTTTGCACATTATACAATTGACATTTTGTGAAAGAATATTTAAATAAACAGAAACACATTGAATACATTAAAATTGTTGACTGGGATGAAGAGAAGGAAAATGGAATACAAGGATATAAATGAATGAATTAAAGAATGGATGAATAGAGCAAGAGGGGAAACTTTTATTAAACAAGGTTGGTTATGTTCAATAAATAGCAGAGTTAGACAAATTCAGCCTTCTGTATCTGAGATCCAGAGGTATAAATAAACATCAAACACAAACAAATCAGATATTAGGGCACTATGTTATTCTACTAAGGTGCTACTATACATACATATCAACTTCATATAAATCAGCATATGCTACCCAAAATGTATTACTTGTTTTTTCATTTAAATATTACTAAATGTCTTGTGAAATATAAAATTTGGCTCATTGCATTATATATTATTTAATAGATTTTTTTGGTAACTATATGTTTCTCACTGGAAGATGAAGAACATGTCTGATTGACATAATAGAACACAAGAATTATTATATTTTGGGGAAAACAATAAAACAAAATACTGAGGACTTACATTGGGGGGAAATATTACATTTATTGATTAATGCTAATTTGTTTTCTGGAAATAATTTTAGTTCTGTTTATCCATTTGAGGTGAAGGCAGTAGACAAAGTGATTTATCTAGGTTATTAACCATTTGGAGTACCATGGACCAGCTAATTTACATATTGTTGAGCCTCAGAATTTTTCATCAGACTCATGAGGTGATTAAATTTCAAGGTCACTTCCGAATCTTATAATAAGGAATACCCAGAAGGCCAATGGTTGGTTGGACTTGAAGTACCTTAGATAAGATACTAAATAAAGCAATTTAGATAAGATACTAGGAGAGTAAGACCTAAGACAGAACACTTTGATAAGGGAAAAAGAGAGAGGCCTTTGTAGGCTGAGATTCATCAAAATAGTTTAAAGAAACCAAACCAACAGAATATTAAGAGACTAGGGAGCAACTTTCACTGATGGCCTCTACAGATAAAGCCTTTGGTAGAATTAAATAAAATCTGTGTTCTAATTGCCTAGATATTGACTCTATAGATTTAGAAACTGAAACTTATGACACAAAACTGCTTATGAGTATTCTGAATAGGATTTAAATTCCCCTCTGACTTAGCTTGGTTTTTACTAAAAGCAGAGACTGAATTAAAGGTTTGTATACAGGTGGTTTATTTGGAAAATGATGGGAGACCAATCTAGGGAGCATAACTGAGATACCAGTGATAGTAAACAGGGAAAGAGGAAGAGTCCACAAAGAAGTCTGTTATCAGACTGCTCCCTGGGTATGACCATGTGAGTTCAATCCCATTGAGACTTCTGAGGAGTAAAGGGAATATTTCTCAAATGTTCACAAAGGATCTCCAAGGAAAAATACTTGTCACTTTCCTTCTGAGAGTTTCCCTGGGTGAGTGAGCAAGTAATGTCTCATAGTTCGGAGCTGGGGTTGTGTGCATGCCACGCAGTCTCCCACCACGGCCCCACATCAGTGCGCTGTGAAAACAGAAGCCACATGGAGCAGGTTTGAGCCAAGGCACCATCAGCATAACCTAAGTGAAATGCTGCAGGGAACTATTCACAGAATCAGGTGGCCCTGAGAGGCTGCAGGACAGAGTTCAAGAGGGTCTGATTCGCCCCCCCCACCCCACTCCTGAAGCTTCAGGAGGGAGAGCAGGTGTTTGAAATGTCTCCATCTGGGATTTGAGAGACAGGTATCCTCTCCTATGATCCACAGGGGAATTTACTTGTTATTTTCCCCTGGCTAGCCTCAAATCTATAGTTCAGCCTCAGAACCATTGTCTGGCTCTCTGCCTAATCTTTCAATATACTCAAGGATCCTTATAGAGCTGTTGAGATATGACATTTTTCTAATATACTATATTTCTATTTCATGACAAAAACTAATATATATTTTAAGTGTAGGGGTTAGATAGGGAACCAATACTTCCCAGAGGTAAGCACCCTTGGAAATAAAAAACAATCTTTTTATTTATATACACTTTAGAAATCATTTTCCCCTGCTGTTTCCTTTGCTCTTTTTACTTTATTGGCAGAGGTTTTCTGTGACTTTAAATAGCCTTCCCTGTGCTGGAGTTGCCTCATTCAAGGCTGCTTTCTCCAAGTTCCAATAAACTCAAATCCACATTACTCTCACAGCAGACACTCAATGTGCTGGTTTTCAATCAATCATAATGAGGATTTTTAAATGTCAAGGTGCATTGTCTTACCTCACTCATCTTCGCAACACAGAAGTGGAAGAAGCATTTATTTCCTATTCATTAAAGATAAATCTTGAACAATATTATTAGTTGTCAAAAGTATCTTCTACCTCCAGGTAAAAAATAAATTGATGTAAGAAAGGAAAACTATTGATGTTTTCACAAAAGTACTTTTTAAAATTAGTGTTTTATTTATTTTGATATGTTTAGAAAAGTGAAACAAAAAAGGTCATTTAGAATAGGATGTAATCTTCAACAGAAAGTATTACGGACAAACTTCTAAGAAAAATGTAATGCTTTTGGCATCAACAAAAGAGATGCCAGTGGATGACTATGAGAAGATTGTAGGTAAAATTGTAAGAGAAAAAAAATGAAGGAAGCCAGCCGAGAGGTTAGATTTGGATCATAGAATTCAGAAGAAAAAAAAAAAAGATGCCTCTTGGTTTAAAACCTCCAATACATTTTGAAT